TCCGTATGTATGCTTAGATCTTTAAAACTACGCAACGGATTTTGATGCGGTTTTTTTTAATAGATAGAGTGATTCTTAAGGAAGGTTTGTATGTTGTATAATACATGCATATTGCACCCGTGCGAAGCCGGGGCGGGTCGCTAGTTTGTTATAAACTAGGTTCTTGAATTAAATAGCTTGTTGATTATATTTTTAATAATGTCCGTGTGTAGACCGTTGGGCATTATGTCTGGTGGATCACCATTTTACAAACTTGATTAATGTCTTTGTTTTGTTATTTCCTATTCGTTATTAATTGATTGATAAGCTGAGGTTGATTGTAAGATTGAGTATGAACAGATCTATTAGCTTAAAATTGAGACTCTGGACTGCCTCGTTGTCCGAGTGGTCGCAAGTGCGACTACCGGCCAAGGCATCCCGGGTTCGATTCCCGGGTCCGGCAAAGCATTACTATTTTTTTTAATTATCTGTAGTAGCATGGAGTCTGGAGTTGTGCCCAGTATATGGCAATGCTCACCCCCTGTTACATGGGACTCATAACATAAATATTGAAAAGTGGGTGTGACATTGTATAGTGGCATTAAGTGCCATAATGTGCACCTCTGCCTACCCCTTCGGGGATAAAAAGCGTCATGTTATGTGTGAGATTCTGACTCTGAACAAATAACTGGATATGTAATAAAATATTTGCTTGCTCAACCGCAACACGTCACGTCAGCTGATAGCAAGCGGTCAAAAAATCCTTGGTATCACAGTAAGACGTCTTCATACAGACTCAGGTAATCACTTCGTGAATCAAACAAATAATTGTTTCGTGTGGAAATCGAACAACAGCAACATATCGTAGTTACAAATTTACACAAATACTGACTGTTACAGTGTCCTGATACTAAACCCAAAGAAAACACCTATTATCTTGCAACCTATGTACGTAGTAATCAATAGGGGTTCAGGAAATCTGATTAATAAATATCGTATGTCAGTCTGAATTCAAAGCGGCTGCCACTGACTATGGCTAATAATGTAAACATCCTGGTGAATATCTCACTATTGACGTAGAACAGTGTGCAGTACAATTATAGTGCTTATATTTATAGATTTTAGAACATCAACTCACTTAAACGTAGGTAAACTGGAAATGTTAAGTAATAGTTTGCGAAAAATTAAATTACCTCGTTAGTTGAAAGTTGCTGACTTGAACGCTAAAGTTTCAATTACATATTCAAAATCTTGCATTACTTAATAATGTATATACAGTGTCAGATTATTTCTCACTACATTATTATACTCGTATTACCTATAAATACTTATGAATAATATTACTTCGAGTTTTCAACGTATACTTTATGAATAAACTAGCAGCCCGCCCCGGCTTCGCACGGGGTACACAATTATTTATTTTTGGAAATTTGGATTGTTGTAGTGACATAACTACCTCTACAATAACCGTATATGTAGTTTGCACAGTCAAAAACCATTCAGATTTCTTGTAAAGCCTAGGCCTTCATACCCTATGACCTATGCCCTTACGAGCGTAGCTCGTAGTGCGTAGTTCGTAGTGCGAAATTTCTAGCACGTAGCAGCATTTTCCAGCTATAGACTTCGTAGGCGTACTAACCATAGACTCAATTGGTGACGAAATAGTTTATATACTACATATACTAACAAGTAACAGGCATTGAAGGTATCAAATCAAACAAATCAACAAACTCTACATGTTCCACTATTAGTCAAAATGTATGTCAATCATTTTGCAATTTGTTATAATATTGTGGACAAAACTAAAATCTATTCAATGTCTATTACCTGTCATAAAAATATGTAGTCTTAAACTATTTCGTGCAGTCACCAGTTCAGTCTGATGATAGCTGGAAAATGCTGCTACATACTACGAACTACGTGCTACGAGCTACGCTACGGCTGTAGTATTTTACCGCAATTTAAGTGTAAAATTACTGCTAATATATTTAGTGCAGGGCCTGTGAGGTTAAAAACTTGGCTTTACATAAGATTTTATTACTTTTTTTAACAATGCCAGCTAAATCGTTTTAGTACGTTTTACATGAAATTCACATTTTCATAACTACTCAGTATGAAAAATGAGTTCATCTTTACTAGTACATAAAAAAATTATTAGTCACATTGTACAGACGAATATATCCGAAAGCCATTTAATAACTGTTATAAAGAATATAATAATACCTTAACATAATTATTAATAAGTACCCAAAAATCAGAGTTATGTCTACGGAAATCACGCTCACAAACAAAAGAAACTGTTGATTGCTGAATAAATAATGTTGTATTCCTTCAGTCTTCCAAAAACAGAACAACGTAAATCGTAAATCCAAATTTCGTAACAAAATGGTAGGACATTAATAAAATATGTTTCACTGCTATAAAAACACTGACACTGTGACGGTAACATATACTTTCAACCCTACGACAGACAGATAGTGTTGACATTTGTAGGGATTCTGACTATAAAAAATAACATCTTATTTATTTAGACAACCGTTATAAATTGAGATGTCAGTTTTAAAATGCTATGAATAACTTAAATAGTAGGTTAATATAAAAGATAGTTTATTGTGTAACCACAATAAACTATCTTTTCTACCAACACTGTTCCACTAACCATGGATTGCTTTCGCATTCACGAAAAGCTTTTCCAACGATTGGATATCCATTTCAACGCTTTTATTTGATAGCCAACATTCTGAATCGGATTTTAGGTCGCAGTGTGCACTAGTAAACTAAACATAAATCGTTTAACCGACGTATATTACGTCAGATTCGACACGTGACCTGGCTCCATGGAACAGATGAGATTTATTATTTCCAGTGGCTATTTTCATAGCGGGTCATGTACATCGGAGTCGGTGGACTGGCGGCGTCAGTCAGCCACGGCGCGCTACACCCACCATGGCTTCCAGCGCACTAGGACTCCAGCGGCAGCTCAGACATGGCGCATCCGGCCGCGAACGAAACGCTACTACTGACAACGTACCTTGAGGATTCTTCACAGCCGCTATGGGTAATCAAACGATCCAATCTTGGTGGCAGAGGATTATTCGCAACTCAATCAATCAAGAAAGGAACCCTTATCTTCAAGAATAAGCCTCTTGTTGTGGCTCCGCGGGCCGACCTTGCTGGAGACACTTACTGCTCCGTTTGTTACCAAGTCAGTGCTACCTGCTCTGCATGTGAACGATGTTACCAAATGACCTGTTCCGAAGAATGCAACACATCAGTAGAACATAAAGTTGAATGTAACTTCATAACAAGTAATTGGAAACCGAAACCAGATTGTGATAACTACAGCAAAGTTCTAGCGCAAATGCAAATTTATTTGCGCTTCTCACTGTTATCCGAAGAACGAAAGTTAATGTTATCTCTCTTACAAAACTGTAATATTGATACAAAATTCGAAGAACTTGAGGAGTTATGTGCAAAATATGTGATATTAGAGGAACAGGTTTCTTTCATACGTTTTATTCACTCGATTATTAAGATAAATTCCTTCAGAATTGCTAATAATCCTCAAGAGAGAAAAATCGCGTTGCGCGGGTTGTATCCTTTATCGGCATTCTTAAATCACAGTTGTATGCCAAACACTCGAAATGTGTTCCACGGTGACTACACAATGGCTGTTTACGCTGCAAGAGATATTGAAGCTGGTGAAGAGATCCTGACGTGTTACACGGGACTTCTGCTGTGTACTCCTGCGAGACGATGTCAACTTTATAAAACAAAACATTTCTGGTGCAAGTGTGAAAGGTGTAAGGATAATACAGAGATGGGCACAAAGCTGTCAGCATTGAAGTGTTTCAACAAAGAATGTGTGGGGATCCTGCTTCCGATGTCGCCTTTGGACCCAAAAGTGGATTGGTGTTGTGATAACTGTGCTGCCAGATTTCCATGTGATAAAATAAGTATGATACAGGGCATCCTTGGCAGCTTGGTTGGGTCTCTGGACCTCGATGACCAATTCCGCCTCGAAGCGGCTGTCTTAGCAAGATTAGCTAATTTCATCCCCTACTCTAATCACATTTTCATCGATTTGAGACTGAGATTAGCACTGAAAATTGGATTCACTGAAGGACTGAAGCTTAACGGTATTTCATGATACAATTACCTAGCATTGGATGTCTCACATTATTAAAAAATACAATAAATGCCTATTAAATCATAAACTCAAAAAGGTACTAATTTATTATCTATTAATGATTGAGTTCATAATCTTCTTGTAACAAAATATGTATTGCGCACTATATAAATAGAGGTTATATAAAGAACTACATCTCTATATCTGTATCTCTTCTAAACTTGCAAATAGATTGCACTCGATAATTCTATGGCCTCATATCAATGTCTAAAATATACTGCTAATTCTTGATACCGCATCTTTGAAAGTCATCTACATAATTATCATATAACTACGAACCTAATTAATCAACGCACAAAATGTGTCATTCTACTAAATTACTGCAATTAACCATCTCAGAGCTTCAAATATCAACCTAGGTTTCCATAAACTCTAACTGTACAATTGGCACGGTGGCTGGGCAAGTGGTGGCCGTGTATTATGTAGCGGGTTCGATTCCCACATGAAGCAACTCTTTGTGTGATGCACAAACAGTTGTTTCGGGCCCAGGTGTGAAGTACATGTGTGTATATGTTTGTAAATGCATCCACGATTCTTTAGAAAATCCCAGTGTGGGGCAATGTTTTTAAAAAAGAAAGAAGGAAAGATTAAATATTGTAAAAAATATCAGGATTAAATTGTTAAAAGACAAATCACTATAATTATTAAAAATTAAACCATTTCTCTAAGATCTACTAGACTACATCGTTAAACATTGTTTCCGTTCATTTTTCATTCGTATCATAACAGGCGCCTATAAAGCCACTAAAAAAAGAACTAAAACATTAATTTATTTGTTCATCCGCCAGCATACTACTTACTATTTATAGCGGAACATGAACCAACAGACAGTATCATTTGTTTTCATCAAACGTCAGAATCGTTTTAACGCAATAGCTTTTAACGGTTTCTATCAATTTATTGAGTTTACAAGGTGAAATGGAAAAGCTCAATACTGAAGCCGACTTTTCGTGTACTCTGTACCTGTACAAAGATAGTAAAATATATGTATTATATATTTTTACTCTAACATCTAACTGTCCAATAATTATCACCAATTTCTATAATACAGTATAAGTCAACGTGAACGTGAATGTGTCGAAAAGCTGTAAAATAGTAGCTATGTCATACACCAAATTTTTGTCAGAGTGGAATTCTTTGCCAGAGTCTGTATTTCCTGAAGGGTATATTCCTGGGTGTCTTCAAGCCCCGAGTGAATAGGTTGCTTATTTTTTTTATGGTATAGGAGGCAAACGAGCAGACGGATCACCTGATGGTAAGCGATCAGCGCCGCCAATGGACACCCGTAACACCAGAGAAGTCACAGGTGCGTTGCTGGCCTTATGGGACGACGTGTTCCATCGTACATCATCATCGCTTACCACCGAACGAGATAGTGGTCAAACTACGGACCATCAAATATTTTAAAAAATATACCATTGTGTCGCGGAAGACAACGGGTTGCCAGTTCGAAGTAGGAACGAGGTAGTTTTATTCAGTCTAACACTATGTCATAACTGACGAGCCATTGAATGATTTTCCCTCCTTAACTCGTCGAGTACCGGTTTTGTAGACACAATTATAGAACAATAGGTTGCGGTCACCGGTGACCGCTTGGTGTTTGACAGTTTAATTAAACAAAAAATATATTAAAATTAGTAAAACCCATAGGCCAAGTGTAATACCGTAACCTAATCTGTACCTAATCTGTACCTACTTCTGTGCAAATTGTGATTCGACAAACTTACATAACAACTTACTTAACATAATAGTTATTCATATAACCATTATGTGCATAACTATTTTGAGTGTATTGTAGTATCCGCCTTTACAATGGTTATGGTACCCCAGTGATTTTTTACCATTGTACCCCAATGATTTTTGTCTAACCTGAAAATCCTACTCATAACTTCGTTCGCACATGCCACTCAACTGAATCAGCTTTTAAATGAACTACTAACATTTTAAATTCCCTAATAAGTAGATAATTGTAACGAAACTTTTAACCGCGTAATAAACAGACGTGCGTATAAATATTATGATTGAAACCAACTGCGCTGTATAATGTTTCTAGGACAAGTTGCGGTATCCACTATGTCAAGGTTCCTTTAACAATATACCTACATCTGGTATTAAATATTTACGATACATTTAATTGATAGGCTACTTAACTATAATAATATAACATATATGCTTAATGCTATGCTACGCTGCTATGCACTATTTCCACCCTCTGTTTATAGTGCTTCTTTAGCTACCATCACATTCATATATCTAATCATAACATACGGATATTACGTAGGTAGGGAACAGCCTATAGCTTTTCATTATCTAACAAAAAATAGAAATCACAATATGATAAGAAATTAAACCTGCTTTCTCTTCCATGAAAATTATTATTATTATGTTCATACAATGTTGTCTTAGTCATGGAACAATGCCAATATTTTGAATCGGTTGAGATCGTAAATGAAATGTGTTTAACAAATGACAGATTACATTAAATGATTTTGTGAAATGTTATTGAACTTATGTTGATTATATTAAAATAGTAATCACTAGCATAGTCCTGAAAAATGCTCCTATCCATAAAGTAATTTCGATTAAGAAATTCTTATGAAACTAAAATATAAGTATAATTAATCATTGTCAACTGGTCGTGGCAGTCAATTACTTAGTGATAGGTAGTCCAGTGCTATGAACCCCTTCTAAGTAATGTCAAAAATCGATCTCAATCTAAATATTTCCGATGAAATCGTTAATTAATTTCCTTCGTTAGTCGGTTCTTACGACAAATTATAATTTGTAAAGACTTCATAGTACCTAACCAAATAATGTGGTGAAATTAATTTTGAACTCTACCTACACCTGACTCATCGACTCATGTCGGAAACCAACTAACCGCATAATTAATGGACATTAATTGAAATAATTTTATACCACAATTACAACACAAAATGGCGCATTAGCAGAGACAAAAATGTACGATTGTAATTAAAATCCATTATTGTTGCTTAATTAAAATTCTTTTTGTAATTTTTGAGATGAAAATAAATAAAGAAAGGCACTAATTAATCCGTTGATAAAAATAAAAAAAGTGTTCGAAATAATTGTTACGTCATTCTAACTTGTGTCCATTGTCTAACGAGAACTTCAATCGTCTGTTGGATAAGAACTATTCATATATAGGAAATATTTTAGTCCTTATTTATTCATTTCGACAAATTTTACAGCATATGTAAATTAAATTCGGTTCCTATTAGGCATAGGTAATGTAGTGGCTTGATTACATAATTAATTAAAATTTCTCGTAGTCCAAAAATAAAATCCGTACTTATTTTATTTCGGTTTGCTTTTCCTGATTCTTTTATATCAATTATTTTCATATGTAGGTACAAAGTGCATATTGCAATGAAAACGCAATGTGTGACGCAGGTACTCGTAATCGTAACATCGCGTTCGAATTAATACGTCACGGCTACTGCACATTCGGGGCAGATAGCACTGTTCGTACTCCTGCTAGTTATGTATACTTTACAAAATACATATAATTAGCAACTGTTTATCAGGAAACAACATGGAAAATTATATTGAGTAACTTGTACCACTGCGTTATGTCCATACTCCTGTACATTATTATATTAGTTAAAATATGCTACTAAAACACTACCTACTAATACGTAGGTACATAGGTATACTTTTTATTCAATTTTGTAATCTTGTTAGAGAATTAATTATTCTTTGTAAACCATTAAAGGAAATAAAATACTCCTTCAGCAAGTGCAAATGCGTCAACGCATACAACTAGGTACGCGTGTTGGTAACATGTTTCAGTAAGTAATATTTTAGGTATGTCATCTATTTTAGAAGTAACATGAAGAGTTATTATATACGTACCTACATAATTACGTTCCTTATATATTATTCGCGCATTTGTAACTGCGTCATTCCGTAAAAGCAAATACGTAAAACTTTAAAGGCTCGTGCCGAATGTACCTAGTTAGCATTTCATTGTGAGTTCAGAATAACGTGTGGTGTGCGGCATGCGACGACTACTACGCAACAAGTGAATAAAATCGGGGACGATATTATCGTGAGGGGCAGTTGTACGATTGACCGCCGATTGACATGGGCGCCGCGGCTAGGAACGCTCGTCCTCACGTCGTCACCAGGTGGATCTGCCTACCTGTACCGTTAGTACCACTATTATTCAATATAACGCCCAACTTATTTTATCCGCTCGTCATTGCCAAACGCGTGGAAAATGTTATTAAATATTTTGGCGTTGATAACGAACTGCATCTAAGCGCTGCCTGTGAGTGTGGAGACTTGTGCCTTGTATATGAACCTAATATTCCATGTATGTGGCGTTAAATAGGACACGCTAGATATGAGTGCCCTTAAAACTGCCACTCAGCATTCACATCGAGCGTCGGACTTGGCGTTGTGCCGTTACACCTATCGATGAAGGTCTGCAATTTCTATTCTGCCAACTATTTCTATTTCTTCGCCAAGATTGAAGTATTGAGAATCGATTAGTTTGACACTTACGTCCATTGTTTTCAGACAATTGTGATATGAAACTTAGGTATCTACTTTTCACAGAAGTTACCTTATTGTTCCGTGGGTTCATTTATTCATGCCGGATGTTGTATAGTTCAATAAACTACACCTATCTATATTAAAAATCATAGTTATATAACTTAATTATCTTTTCAATAAAACCCTTTAACGCCTTTACAAGAATCCAATCAATAAGCGCACGGGTACAATGATAACCGAGTTACCTACAACAAAGCGCGATTCCGAGTAGCGCGGGGTTTTGAGTTCGAATCCAAGTTATTAACTAAGTGAGGCAAAGTATATACAAATACTTAGTTTGATAAAAAAAAAATTATGTGTTTCCCGAAAAATAATATACTTACAAACGGGTGCATGAAGACCATAAGGCTCATAACTGGTAAAAAGCAGGTGCTAACAGTTAGGCAGTACTAATACACACCTCTGCTTACATTATTTTGATTAAAAAGAACCACCTGTGTAATGGTATCTAACTGATTATAAGTAATATTTGTAAGACCTCACAGCAATCACTTAATTTAAGATGTTCAAACGATTCTATGCCATTAATTAAGTACCTACACCTACCCACATCCAATACAATATAAAACTTCCAATCTGTTTATTTTAAGTTTGATTCAGGGCTTCGTATTTCGACATTTATGTAAATATCTAAATATTTCAGAGCTGTCGGAGTCTCGCCTGGCGCTGAAAGAGAGTCTGTGCCGCGGCACGCTGCGCACGGTGGCGGCGCTGGGCGTGGGAGACGCGCACCTGCGAGGCCTGTTGCTTTACCACCTCCACGCCGCACTGGCAGAGCGCGCCAGGCGCTCGCCAGACCTGTATGAGGTACAATACCTTATTTTCTATAGGTACCCCCAGCTTCAACCGGGAGCTATTTCGTACAAAGTATGTGAATGTATCGACTTTTTCTTTCTTATACGTAGCTTATCCTAACGATAGCGAACACGACACGACAGAAAGATCGCAACGTCAAAAAGAATCTGCTTACCTCTGGTGCTAGGTTCGAGGCTACCTACACTTTTTAATCCTTTTTTTAGATTATTTATAGAATAACAATAAATATTTCTGTTACAGGAAATCAAATGTGAGATTGAGAGCACCATAGAACAAGCCTACAATATACTCCAAGGCGACATTTCCGCGCCACCAGACCTAGAACTGAGGCGCCGTTATCTTGGTCCAGGCTGTGATAAACCCCAAGAAGAAAGATTCTTCATCCTCGATGTTTAATGTGATAGACAATTTATCTAAGTTTATTTTGTACGTAAAAAATGTTTGATGATTTTAAGATATGTTAAATAAATCATGATTGACCTAATTCAGAAGATTTTAATGAAGCAATGAAAAATGCAATGATTTTAGAGGAATAAGCTAGATGAATGATACCTACGTTTGAAACTACTACTAGTACCTAGTAGTAACTACTTACCATTTATATAAATATTTTTTGATTGACCTTACCAGGGAAGTCATACGGTGCTACCCTCTATTTTAATCTGCCCCATCAAAAAATAAAATAAAATGTAGGTATAGGTATTATTTTAACATGAGTTTTATTATAAAATAATAATCCCTTTTCCTACCTACCTAATTACCCATATCCCTACCTACTATATAAACTATAAATACTATAGCCAATAATAAAATGCCTTTTGAGGAAGAAAAATCGTCCTCCACCGTTTGTAAGGCTTGAATTAATGCCCAAAAACTGTTCCATGCTCCGAGCGTGGATCTCAGGGTAACTTATTAGTAGTTATTAGAATAGACTTATCCGCAACCCCGGATGTAAATATCCATTGTCCGATATGTCCATGTTCATGGTCTAATTATCGTGATGGACGAGTCCAAAGACTTATACCAAAGAATTTGTCTACATTACAAAAACCCTAACCGCTAACATGGAATTATTGAAAACTAGATAATAATAATATAGTGAATTACACCAAAGGACAATGCTCATATTGGCTCTTAGTCATAAATATAAACACTTCAGCATCTCAAAATAATGTTGAATGTTCATTCCTTAGTTTTATAAAACTTGATCATTTACATTTACACATTCTAAATTAACATATTTTTATTTTGTTATATTTTCACAAGTTTCCTCGGCAATTGTGGTAATATTCACTATTCAGCTTGCAACCTTGCTTATCAAAAAATGTAAAATTATAATTTCCGAACACAGCGTACATCAGTCAATAATTCAATATCACTGTCAAACATTGTCAGTGTCAAAGTAAGAAAATTTTAAATGTCATCATCAATCAAGGTATAAAAATAAAATACAAATCGGTTAGTTTTGTTGTTTACTGTCTTTTAATAGTTTCTTATGATCAATAGGTTGTAAACAAGAAAATCAATAGGTTTTTCGTCTCATATGATATGATGTTTTACACCTCTATTAACTGATAAGAAAATAATTGTTCGTTTGATAACGTCAAGAATTTTTCTCAAGATAATGCCCTATTTCAGACTGCTTTATCAACTTTCATATCAGTATTCGCCTGGAATCAACAAGCTCAGTACCTATTTGAGACCTAAACGGCTGAGAACTTTTGTTTCAACTTCAATTTCGACAACCATGGCACCGCAGCGACAAGCTTTATTACTATCATCATCAAATTGTCACGGGTATTCGATCTTAGAGTTCGCCAAACAAGAAATATGTAATATCCTCAAGAAGTAAGTAGTCCATGTATGTTACATTGATATATTATAGCATGTTACTTTTTGTGCAAATGTTTAATTTAAAAAATATTTCAGGAATAATGTCACAGAGTTAGTCTTCATTCCATTTGCTCAAAAAGACTATGATGGTTACACGGCTAAAATAAAAGAAGTTATTGAACCATGGGGTTTTGCTGTAACTGGATTACACAGCTACACCAATTTAATTGAAAGAATTAATTGCGCAAAGGCTATATTTGTAGGGGGAGGCAACACATTTGTCCTTTTGAAAACACTTTATGAAAAAAATCTAATTCAGGTTATCAGAGATAGAGTTCATGAAGGCAGCTTAGTATATATTGGCAGTAGTGCTGGAACTAATGTTGCCACTAAAAGCATTAATACAACAAATGACATGCCTATAGTGTATCCGCCTACTTTTGAAGCCATTGGCATTGTGCCTTTCAATATCAACCCTCATTATATTGATGTCATTAGTGAGACACACAAAGGTGAAACAAGAGACCAAAGAATTTATGAATATTTAGAAACAGCTCACTGTAGCCCTGTACTAGGGTTAAAAGAGGGGTCAATGTTGCATATTGATGGGCATAAATTGACAATAAAAGGAATTGCTGGTGCAGTGCTATTCCAAAAGTGAGTATCATTTATATTTGAAACAACTCAATTAGCCAGTAAATATAACTTACCAGACTGATCATACTAGCACACACCATTTTGTGCTAGTGAGTTAATAACTTTATAATTTATGTGACTAGCTTTTAGTCGCGTCGAGAGTGTTAATTCTGGATAAAAAGTATCCTATCACCAGCCCATACCCTGCCTGTATACCAAATTTCATCAAAATCCGTTCAGTAATTTCAGTGTGATTGATGGACAAATATCCAAACAAACTTTCACATTTATAATGTTAGTGTGATTACTACACAACTACAGAAATACAGATGATACTTTTTATTTTGCCTAACAAATGATAAACCCTTGTGTTTTTTTAGGACTGACAAGAAACCTTTGGTTATTGATCCAGATACAGATGTGTCATTTTTATTTCAACAAGATAAAGAACTTTAGATGCTGCAAGATCCATTATATTATCGAGCAGGAGGCCAATGATAAACTTTTTATTTTTGTATGGAGTATAATAATATTTGTTCTTATGCCAATTACACTGATTAATAAAATATTTTAGTGAAAAGAAATATAATTATTTGATGTCGAGGAACAAAAATACAATGCCTTGAAAACACTATGCACTTATCCTATATCATCCAGTCTGGTCCTAATTTGAGTAGTTCATCAAATGAGGTATTTTATTGGTTCACTTTTTCAATTGTGCCATGAGAGTACCTATACCACAAAACCACTTAAAATCCACAGTTATCACTATCAGCCGCTATGAAGAGCTGTATGTATATTGTATTTCAATCCACCAGTTTTACTAAAGATTTAATAACCACTTTTTACAAACAATATTATATTTGAATATTGCACTGTAAGTTCATTATTTGTCTAGTCTAAACACTGAATATTCAAGTTAAAAGTTAATGTCAGCCTGTGACTGGAGCATGCAGCAGTAAAGATCTAGCAGCATGGAACAATGAGGGTTGTGGTGTCACACGTGATTGCCCTGTCCTTTCAGCTGTAGGTAAATGACATAAGTATCGCCTTAGTGCCAGATCTCGACGTGCACTCAAGCCACGAGTTATTTCACAACCAGATCCAAATAAAACAGCGCGCTGGCGCTTTCTCTTTTCCACAGCCACCTAAAATAATAAAAAAATATATATTACTTCTACCTAACAAAAAATAAATGATCAAAATAGCACTATGGTCAAGTCTGAACCCAAAATTTCACATTATTTATTAAAAGCAATAAGAAAATGCTGTACAGACCTGAATGGCAGCAACAGGGTGTAATGTGGAAACATCAGGCACAGGTTCTGTTTTAGTTTCATTTTCATGGATACCATTCTGTTCAATTGAATCTTTCTGATCAGAATTTTCTAAAGATTGCATTTGCTTTCTTTTTTCTGACTCAAGACTTTCGGCATTTTTATGTAAAACATCTTGGACAACTTCTTTTCCAGCCATATTTACGGAAAGCCCAAGACGAGCGAGAACTCGTTCCGGTCTCCAACGATCGCGAGCACCGCCAGAGGAAACCCCAGTTTGTTCTCTTCGACGAACATCTGCTACTAAACTAGCCCAATCAACTCCAAGAGCATCACCTAAGCCAGCTGAAAAAAACGTTTAACATTATATTTACGCATTTCAATTTGAATGTCAAAACCAAATTGTGTTAAACTACCTCTTGTGCGTTCTTCTTCTAATTCTCCATCAGATATTTCCTCAAAGTCTAAATTAGCAACATCTTCATCATCCTTAGCATCTTGGGACTCCTTTTCTTCAGCAGCACCACTTGTATCCTAGAAACAGCAAAAGCACTATTCTAATATATGAAATGGTAAATGGTTCATACAGAATTGTTGTATTAGTCAATAGGTTGTGGTGCCAAGTGAAGATGTTCCAATCGATCTTCCTCATACTTCTTTTAAGATATAGAAGATTTAGATAAAACTGTATTAATATATAGCATTACATACCTGAGTAGACTCTTTTTCAGAAACTTCTGGCTTAGACATAGTTTCATCATTGGGCAAAGCAGTTTGGCTGTCTTCATCTATAATTTGATCTGCCATCTGAATCAAAAATTTATTGGCAATCATTTGCAAAAAGAAACACATTTTATTAAGCACATAATCATGATTATTAAATATAAATTGGCTTACATCTTCTCTGTTGAGTATGTCGTCAGGATCATCACTTATCTCACTGAGATCATCAGGAATGGGTTTATCATCAACTTCAGTTTCCGTACGTGGTGGTGCTGTAGGTGGAGCTTGTGTAGCAGGGGATGGGCTTTCTTTAGCTGTTTGTTCTGGTTCATTTCTGGGAGCACGTCTTTTATTACCATCGCGAGCGAGATCCATTCGCATTCCACGACCATAATCATCTGAAATAACGAATTCATTTTTGCAGATTAGAATCTGATAAATAAAGTGAAACACACTTTGACACATTTACATTTAGCTAGGTCACATTATACACACTCACCATGCATTCGTCCACGATGAGGCCCAGGAGGATGGCCTCTATGGTGCCAAGCATCCACATCAGGTTCTTTATCACCCCACTCGTTCATCTAAAATTGCATAGTTCGTTAGGTATACTGAATTATATTATTCAAGACATTTTAACAATAATTGATATTATTAACTTTAACATACCAAAATGAGGATAAGGACAGCCAAGGAATAGGTGGGACAGAATAGGACAAGGATTTTTATTGTCTTTACGGTAATCAATTGGTTCATTCCGATACAAAGTTTGATAGTATAAACTCACCTATAGCAGAAGTAGAAAAAAATCGTTATTAAAATTTTATTTGAAAATAAAACTAGAATGTTCACATGTAGGTAATATAATATATCTAAATTAATCTAAATAATTACCTGTGGATCATGCATTTGCCAGTGGCGTTCACGACCCCATTCTCCTGGGCGATAGTCATCATTATCCCATTCTTTATGAGGATGCATATAACGCTCACGGTCCATGGATCCAGAGCGTCCTTCCCAAGAGCGATCACGATGAGGTCGGCGGTCATCATAACCTTTAAAATAAAGTGCAATTATGGAAAAAGAGGACAGAATGTTCTCGGCTCATTTTATACACAATCAAAACACAAACACCATTCTTACCCATATCAACACCCCTCCTTTCACCCATATGTTCACCATATAACCTATCATCATCTTCAGGATACCCCCTTGGAGGTCC